GCTGGGTTGTCATTGCTTCTAGGCCTTTCAGTAAGTAAAGCTAGGAGTATGTATGTATGTATTTATTTATTTATTTTTAGGCAAGGCAACCCTTGGTTGTCTTCACAGATTGCAAGGACCTTGTCAGCTTATTTTTTATTTTTTATGCCTACAGCACCTGATCTTCCTAGGTAGTCTCCCATCTAAACAGTAACCAGGCTCAACCCTGCTTAGGTTCTGAGATCAGATGGGATTGGGCTTGTTCAGAGTGGCATAGCCGTAGACTAGGAGTACTTATTTTTTAGAGAAAATAAATCATGAATTCATCAAATAAATGAATGAAGACTTCTCTAACTTCTGTGTTTTACTTATGTCTCTTTTCTCTTATGTTGAGTATCTTAAAGTCACTTGGAATAATTTTTTTCTTTTTCTTTCATATTGTTTAATTATTGAGAACATGTATGTGGTTTTATTTAAGCAAAATAGATAAGCGTCAGGAATCTGGCTTCTATTTTTGTTCCTTCCATCCATGGGTAATCGTTTTTATTAAGTCTTGGTTTAAATTTTGTTTGTTTTTGAAAATGTAAGTAAATACATATATTTATATATTATCTATGCTCTCCTCAAATAAAAAGCAGCCTATTTTCACATTTCTATCTTTGTTTTTATCTAAACATATCCCGGAGATCACTCCATATCAGAATATAGTATTGCCATCTTCCTCATTGCTTCATACCACTGCATGATATTTCATTTTATGGATGTAATATAATTTATTCAGCCATTTTCCTTTTGGTGAATATTTAGATTATTTTTAGATATATGCTATTTTGAATTATGCAAAGATGAATGAATGAGTAGCTTCTACATGTATCATTTAATATTTTAGCCAATTTATCTTCAGGAAATTTATAAGTGAAATTGCTGGGTAATTTTGCTAGGTGTTACCAAATTCCCCTGCATAATAGTTGAAGCATTTTGCATGGGCCCACCCCTCTCTCCCTCCAGCAATGTATAAGTTCCTATCTCTTAGGGAGGAATAAGCTGCTGCTTTGAAAAACAGTTAATAGGAATAACCATACTGGTCATGTTTTACTTAAATTGATAGTTCTTTATGGTGACTTTTAACCTGATTATTTCTTTTCATAACCTAGTTTTGTGTAAATATTTTGTGTATAGCTTATATTTTTACTCACTGGGATTTATAGCCTCCTTTAATAGCCCAGCTTCTGCATTGTCTGTGCCTCAACTACCCAGTGTCTTCCGATAACTTTTAACCTGATAGCTTATTGAAAGGCACCGTGAGAAGGTTTTTGTTTCTTTCCCTTGTTGTCTCCATGCTAAATTCTGGACTTTTATGAAACATCTTGCTCAAAATAGATGATGCTGCAATTCTTATTTTGGCCACAGTATGTAACAATCACATTAACTACTAATTTTACATAGCAGTGAGTTTCTTGTCAATCAATAATTGGTCTATCTTACTAAGTAGTTATAACGTTGAATTATAATTTTATTATTTTTTACTTGTATTTTTTTTAAGGTCAGTTGCTTATAGTAGATTCTGGTAGAGAAAATGTTTTTTTAATCTTCAGAATATCTTTTCCGGTTGTGTGAAGAGTTGTTAGTTTTCTGCAAAGATAATTAATTCTAAATTAGACAATGACAGTCAAGAACTAATAAAGTTGGTTGATCGTCCTCAACTAAAGAATTTAATGTGCCTGAATAGAAGAAAGTATAAATGAATTATAGGGGAAAATGTCCTTCCCACCCCTGTTCCCAGCTGTTCCTATGGGTAACCAGTGAGTTTCTCGTGTTTCCTTTCATGGAAGAAAATAAAGAATCGCTAAGTAGAACTTGGTTAACCATAATAGTTTCAATAGACGTTTAATAAAATTTTCGATAGATTATTTCAGTTATATATTTAAAATAAGACATAACAAGGAAAGTCCTAGAATTTGGTAGATAACCAATTTTAAGGGAAAAGGATGTCTTTTCACCCCAACCCCCTACCTTTGTGGATGTAAGTGAAGGACCTGGTCTTTATATTGTATCAGTTGGATAACTTTGTTAGACCTTTCAGCAGTGTAGTTTTTAATTCTTTGAAGAGTTTTGAAATACTGACTATACATTAATAATACCAAATAGAGTATTTTTTAAATACTTGTAATTATTTTTATTGCCATTGATCAGTTGATTATTAAAGAGGAAACTGTTGAAAGTGGTTTTAAAAAATACTTGACTTTGAGATGCATCATAAGTCAGTTATATTATCTTAAACCGGTTGTTCTCAACCCTGGCTGCACTTAAGAATCTCCTGAGGAGCTATAAAAATTTAGTATGTCCAGGCCCTTCTAGATTCTGACTTGATTGGTCAAAGGTGGGGTTGGGGGCATTTGATATTTTTTGAAAAGCTCTCCAAATGATACTGTGCCACCAGGATTGAGATTAAAACTATTGTTTCCTTCTATACAGTTAATCAGAAATTTATTAAATAAGCATTTATCATATGTATATGTAATTTGTTCACAGATTTGTCTTTTGACTAACATTAAGTTTGCATTCAGTGAATATTTCCTAATTGATAGCAGAAAAAAGAATCCAGAGATTCAGATTGTGAGTCAGAAGGACACTTCAAAATCAGTTCTGTGAGACTGTCTGTACCTTGTATGGGTTTGGTAGTAATACTACTAGTCAAATAAGCATACCTATTGGATGACTGCCATTGTCCCAAAATAAGAATAAAATTTATCTGTCTTTAAAATTAATAGATACTGACTTGGATATAAAAACATATGTTATCTAGATAAAATACTAGCTTGAAAGCAAAAGTGACAGTATAAACACTCTCTAGTATAACACTAATCATCGATGGCTGTTTTCCAGTTAAAAGAATTTAAAAGGAGCATCTGATAATAGTGGCTTCAGAGTTGAATAATTTGCTACTTGGAATGTAGAATCTCAGGCCCCACCCCAGGGCTACTACATGAGAATCTGCATTTTAACAAAAGCTTCAAGTGATTGATACACAAATCACAGTTTGAGAAGCACTAATCTCATGATTTTCAAGCTATTATATAGGGACTGCCAACTTATTTTTTAAATGAAGAGAAACTACTTAGTTTTTCAGGGAAAGGTGAGTCTGGGACTGGAAGGTAACCACTGTCTGAGTAGTGAGGAGTGGGTAGTACTGAGGTTTGGCACAGTGACACTTTAGGCTTGCATGTCCATGAAAGGTGACCACCAGGTTTGTGTTGGTGCTCAATTTTAATATCTTTCTGAGTTTGATATCTGGGAATTTTTAAGTTCAAATAGCTGTGTATGGATTATAATTTAAACTGATCTATTTAAATAATCCTAACCACATGAAAAAAATAATGTTCAATCGTTTTAAAAAATACTTGACTTTGAGATGCATCATAAGTCAGTTATATTATCTTAAACCGGTTGTTCTCAACCCTGGCTGCACTTAAGAATCTCCTGAGGAGCTATAAAAATTTAGTATGTCCAGGCCCTTCTAGATTCTGACTTGATTGGTCAAAGGTGGGGTTGGGGGCATTTGATATTTTTTGAAAAGCTCTCCAAATGATACTGTGCCACCAGGATTGAGATTAAAACTATTGTTTCCTTCTATACAGTTAATCAGAAATTTATTAAATAAGCATTTATCATATGTATATGTAATTTGTTCACAGATTTGTCTTTTGACTAACATTAAGTTTGCATTCAGTGAATATTTCCTAATTGATAGCAGAAAAAAGAATCCAGAGATTCAGATTGTGAGTCAGAAGGACACTTCAAAATCAGTTCTGTGAGACTGTCTGTGACTTGGATGGGTTTGGTAGTAATACTACTAGTCAAATAAGCATACCTATTGGATGACTGCCATTGTCCCAAAATAAGAATAAAATTTATCTGTCTTTAAAATTAATAGATACTGACTTGGATATAAAAACATATGTTATCTAGATAAAATACTAGCTTGAAAGCAAAAGTGACAGTATAAACACTCTCTAGTATAACACTAATCATCGATGGCTGTTTTCCAGTTAAAAGAATTTAAAAGGAGCATCTGATAATAGTGGCTTCAGAGTTGAATAATTTGCTACTTGGAATGTAGAATCTCAGGCCCCACCCCAGGGCTACTACATGAGAATCTGCATTTTAACAAAAGCTTCAAGTGATTGATACACAAATCACAGTTTGAGAAGCACTAAACTAATCTCATGATTTTCAAGCTATTATATAGGGACTGCCAACTTATTTTTTAAATGAAGAGAAACTACTTAGTTTTTCAGGGAAAGGTGAGTCTGGGACTGGAAGGTAACCACTGTCTGAGTAGTGAGGAGTGGGTAGTACTGAGGTTTGGCACAGTGACACTTTAGGCTTGCATGTCCATGAAAGGTGACCACCAGGTTTGTGTTGGTGCTCAATTTTAATATCTTTCTGAGTTTGATATCTGGGAATTTTTAAGTTCAAATAGCTGTGTATGGATTATAATTTAAACTGATCTATTTAAATAATCCTAACCACATGAAAAAAATAATGTTCAATCTATTTTAACAATTATAAAATTTGTATTTTATTTTAAAAAGAAATTGATTTGTTGTAGCAAATGACATAAGTCAAAGTTAATGCTCAGCCCGCTTTTTGTTTAGACAGCCAAAGAGATTCAGCTCTAATACCAGAGCCAAACAGCAAACAGCAGTCATAAAAAGAGCCAAGGATAAATTGATGTCCGGGCCCCCCCGCCCCCATTTTTATTTTAATTTGTGAGCTTCTGTAGTTGGACTGTTTAGTGTATTTTTATTGTACGTTAAGCTACACATTGGATCAGTCAATATACACAAATATATTGAGGGCACAGCATTGTTTGCAAATGTTAGCATTTGGAGACTTCATGGCTTCTCAGTATGCTAATATGGCCATTAAGGTGTTTGATGTTAGAATATGACTTTTTAATGTGTCAATGCTTAAATAGAGCTATTCTCAAGCTGGAATATCTGAGACTGAATGGACAAGTGGATCTTCAAAAGGCGGACCTCTACAGGCATTAACTAGGGAATCCACGAGGGGGTCGAGAAGAACTCCGAGGAAAAGGGTGATGCAAGGCTTATTGCTTAGAATTGGGTTTTCAGATTGGTAGGGTTTTAGTGACTGTTTTATGTTTATTGTTTTTGTTTTGTTTTCAAACTAACAGGTGGATACTTCAGAACATTTTCGTATAGATGGTGCAATAATTTCAGAGAGTACTCCCATAGCTGAAACTATAATGGCTTCAAGCAACGAAACCTTAGTAAATATGTTTCATAAACTATACAAGTGGTATTCTTTGTAAATTACCCTTTAATTAGAATCGGGGAGGTGGTGAATTTGGCAAATTTCAAAGTTATATATTTTTAAACTCATTTTCCCCATATAATTCTGAATTTTAGGATTTTTTATTGTGCAAGAATCCTAAGTATTCTAAGGATACTTTTTTGCTAAAATATTTAAAGAATGATAAGGCTTCACATGTGAACCACTGAATATGTTCATTTCTGAGTCCTTTTGCCTGAATTTTTATTAAGGGAAAGTATCAAATATTAGAGAAATAAAATATCTTTTTCTTTTCTTTTTTCACATGTCTTTGTTATGTTTGGATAATTCTGAGTCTGAATAATTTGAATCTTGGCAGGTTGTCAATAGGGTGACTGGAAATTTCAAGCATGCAGCTCCTATTCTGCCAATCACTGAATTCTCAGACATTCCCAGAAGAACACCAAAGAAACCATTGACAAGAGCTGAAGTAAATGAATAAAACTTAGATCGATGTTATCATTGATCTTTTAAAGAGGAAATATTTGTATTTGTTTTTTGGAGTTGGGGGGAGCTGAGCTTGCTTTATTGGGTGATGTGTATGGGTGTATATATGCATATATTCTTTTAAAGACATACTTCTATAGTGATGATAAAATAACTAATATGTCATGCTAATCCTATCCTCTTGCTACTGTGTGCCTCTTAAGTTCCAATTATCAAGGGAGTGGTCTTTTTTTGCTGTTTATAACTTGTTCTCTTTTTTATGGATGTGAGTCGAAAGTGTAACTAGGCTGTAGGGGGGCAGCTTTACTATTTTTCACGGGAAGATCAAATAATGGGACTTCAAAATGACTTTGTATGACGCTTCATTTGATTAACTCCTGTGTAATTAAGCTTTTAAGTACTAACTGCATGATGCATTGTAGTTTTAATCTTAACCAAAGGTTATTTTGATCTGGGCATAAAGGTAAACACAGCAAAACAACAATCAAGTTGTTAAAAAATATATATTTTATGTTTTTTAAGTTAGGAAGATTAGATTGACTCTAGTTAAAAAATACTAAAATTAAAGATCCATGTTAATTTGATACCTGCTATATTTGAACATTTATCTTATAACACAGTTCTTAGTGGAGGAAGAAACAGTGTACTCTTAATGAAAAGCACGGGAAATTCAGTGGGGGAACTTATACTTCCAAATAAGCTGCACTCAATTTTTGTTTTTTAACTTTTACTTATTTAAGTGTGTGGCAATTTTTTTTTCTCCTGCAGTTATCACATTAACATATCTTTCATTTTGACGAAATCTGAAGAGAGCTTTGGAAGTGTGTGACTCCTTAGGTGATAATAAATTTAGAAATGGCAGTTATAAAAGCTGGGATAGATCGAAGTGCATTCTGTCCTCTGAAACTTTTATTTAAAATTATATTTTAATTTTTGCACATTTACACTAAATTTTAATTGTAGTTGTTTGTTTGTTTCTTCTTAGGTGGGAGAAAAAACAGAGGAAAGAAGACTAGAAAGAGATATTCTTAAAGAAATGTTTCCCTTTGAAGCATCAACACCAACAGGAATTAGGTATTCAGATACATTGAAACAAGTATTAGTATGTCTTACTGGACATTTTTATTTATTCACTTATTTATTCCCACTTTATTGAGGTATGATCGATGTATAAAAATTGTATATTTTTAGGGTATGCAACATGATTATTTAATATACATATGAGAATTTTAATTTCTAATTTTTCACAGTTAGTATACCTGTGTTCTTAGAATTAAGCTTTTTTGGGAGCAGTTTAATTCTTCTAAGCTACCAGTTCATATTCTGAAAAATTGAGTCAGTTTGTTTTGTTTGTTTGCTTTTAAAATTAGCTCATTTTTTCCTCTGTATTTGTACATACAGTGTGTTTGGTCATCGATTTGAAACTATAGGTAAAAATCATCCAAATTTTTACAAATTAGAAAATTAGCTGTTAACATTTTGAGTATATTTCTCTTCGTATTCTCAAATACATAGATAGTTTGGTATTACTTTCTTTTAATTTTTTAGTAACTTTTCTTATTTTAAAAGTGATACATAAACAATTCAGAATCCCTGTTCTGCCATCTTGACTAGAACACGAGTCGGTTTCAAAATTACTTTGTTAAGTTGAAGGATTGTAAATACATCATTTACCTACTATTTAATTCTCATTTTTAAATTGAAATGGAAACCTAGTAAGAAGTAAAGCATTGTTTTCCCTGAGAGTTTCTCTTCTGTTTGAAAAGACTATTTACACATCTGTTTAATTGTTTCCTGACTGAAGGAATCACAACCAAACTACCTTATTTCTTTCCTCCTATTGCCGCTTTTAGCTCTGAAAAGACTTGAAGAAGGCAAATTTAGTGAATATTTATCAACATTTTGCATATTATTTTTTAATAAAAAATTTGCATCTAACTTTTTTAATGGAAAATGTAAAGAAGTTTTAAAAAGGTGACGCCTCACTGTTCATATGTGATAACTTCCTACTGTTAACCTCAAGGAATGTGTTTGAGACAGGAGCAGTAATGACATTTTATTTTATTTTACCTTTTTTTTTTTTTTGACATTTTATATTATTTATTTAAATCATGACTTTATCTAAAATTTATTTTCCTTTTCCTCCTTTTACTCCCCACAGTGCTAGCTGCCGCAGACCGATCAAAGGGGCTGCGGGCCGGCCATTAGAACTCAGTGATTTCAGGACGGAGGAGTCTTTCTCATCCAGATATATTCCTAAGTATGTTCCCTTGGCAGATGTCAAGTCAGAAAAAACAAAAAAGGGACGCTCCATTCCCATGTGGGTAAAAGTTTTGCTGTTTGTTGTTGTGGTCATTTTTTTGTTTTTGGTCTATCAAGCTATGGAAACCAACCAACGAAATCCATTCTCTAAATTTCTTAATGACTCTAGAAATCACAAGTGAATGATATCTCTTTGGCACACTCAGCTTGGTCTCCTATTTTTAATAACTGTATAAAAAAACATTTGTGTACACTTGTTGACTGAAGAGCTAAAAATAATGTGATTTCACCTCAATAAATGTATTCCATTGAAAAGCAAACAAGATATATAAATGGACTTCATTTATATGTTTTGGACTTTGGACTAGTAGGAGATCACTTCGTGCCATATCAATCTTTTTTAGCTCTGGAACATTTTTGTAGGCTTTATTTTTTTAATGTGGGCATCTTATTTCATTTTTGAGAAAAATGTATATTGTTTTCGGTGTATTTTGGGAAACAAGAAGGGCAAAACATGGCAGTCTAATGTGAAGCTACTCATTTAAATACTTTGAATTCTTACAGAAAAGATTTTAAGATTTATTCTCTGCTGAATAAAAACTTTAGAGATGTGAAACATGAAATTCGGTAAGGGAAAAATGTAATGGGGTTGTGCTTTTTTTAACGGCAGCAAAGTTTAATGGAGTTTATGGGGAAAAGTACAGCAATAATCTCTTCTGTAACTTTTATTAATAGAATGTATTGCCGTAGCCCTATTGTATTCACTTTTTAAAAGATTTCTAGTATCATGAATGTCCTACTACAGTAAGACCCATTAAATACAGTTGATTTTTAGCAGGGATTTTTTAGTGTGACATATTTTAGAGAGCTGTTAGCTGGCTTTATGTGTTTTTAAAAGCTGTTTAGCTAGCTATAAGGCTATAATTGGAAACATGTATTTTTTATTTACAGCAAAACATTTTGTCAATCCAATTTGCTACCAAAATATTTTTTAGATTAATAAGTGTGTATGTCTGTTTAGAAGTTAGAAACTAAACACTGGTCTTAGGTTCCATTTGGATTTGTTATTGCATTGTCTTCTTTTACCAAAAACAAATTTTGCCAAGTTATTTTGCCCTCTATTTCCCAACATAATTAAAGTGCAAAAATATTTTTTTTTTAAATTACATAGTAAACTTTTTCTTGGATACATGGTAGTTAATACATAAGTTTGTAAACTCAGAATATGAGATGGGCATTATGATTTTTGTGTACTCTTGAAGTGGTTAACTTTATCTTTGTAGTTGATTTATTTTTTTAGCTAAAACTTACCTCATGTATAACTTGGTTAAGTAAAATAGTAGGTAATTAAAATTTCAGTAGAATCAAGTAAAACGAAAATTTTATTCATTTGAGTTTCAATTTTACAGTCTTTGACCATAAAGCACACTAACCATGTAAGTTATTTTTAAATATCATCTGAAATAAAAAGGTAATTTTAAAAAAGGAAAAAGCTAAAGATGTGTATTTAGATGAGCATACAATTTTGATTTGAATTAGCCCTATTCTGGTATTTAGCTTTTAGATACTTCGTAGATTTTTTCACTTAATTGGCAGTTTACCAGAAATGCTTGTAAGCCTGGTCCTACAGGGAAAGTGAAAAACGTACATCTAGATCAGAAGCACTTGCCTCTCTGATTAAAGTATTTTCTTTGAGATGAGCCACAGAGGGGCACAGTTTACTCAGCTTTTCGCTGTAAGGTAATAGCAGTCTACTTTTACTTTGTTTTTAAACCTTGTTTCCCATTTTGTTTTCAATCTTTTGTTTATAATTAGAAATTATGAGAAGCTGCATTTAATGTTTAAAAATATGGAATGATAAATCAGACTTAATATGTATGTAAAATCAGTTTTCTAATAGGAAAGGTATGGTCCAAAATAGCAAAATTAGGACCAGGTAAAACATGTAGTCTTTTTTTTTTTAATGTGTTTGGTCTTTGTCTGTTTCTTATTCCACTAGAATAAATATGTCCTTGATGTAAATGCAAAGCATTTCTTCCTGATTAAACTGTAGATGTAGACTTTACAATATAATTCAACAATAAAAAAGTAATTAACCTCTAGTTTTGTCATTGCAATAAATGCTTTGTAGATAGCACGAACTATAAGATTTCCTGATAACATTTCTTATGTAATATTTCATCATTTTTTATTCATAAATAAGCAGTGGATAGCCATTATACTTGCAGAACGACGTAGGGAAGATCACAGAGGCTCTTCTCTCTCGCCGTACAAAATGGTAACTACTTTTCAGTCCCGTAACTCCCCTTCCATCCCCCCCTAGTTTTACCATTTTAGTACTTTTCTGCAGCACTCATGATTATTAGTCTTGCTTTGAGACTAAACAAAGATGTTGCTGTGGTATATTTATTATAGAGCTGTGTTCACAGGACGAAAGTGCCTTTATCCCTTCATCATTCATGTGTCCCCCAAAGGTGATTTTACTTAAATTATGATTCTCACACAGTTATACACTATAATCAAAGCAAATAGCATCTCACAGGCTTAAATAACAGTAAAAGTGCTTTATGGCATGCTTGCCATGTGCTAGATACTGTTCTATGTACTTGATATATATTGACTCAGTCATCATGATGACCCCATGAAGTAGGTATTTTCTTATTCTTTCATTACAAACAAAAAAAATTATGTGCAAAGGTATTAAGAAACTTGCCCAAGTTTGCACAGCTGGGAAATGATGTGTTTGGTTGCATATGATATGGCAAAGGGGACCTAAAAGATGAACACTCTGTTCGTACTCTGTACCAGTTCTCCTATTCAGCCTTGTCCCTTCCATGACTTTGTTGGTGCCTTTAAGTTCTAGACCTCTTTAGGAGTTAAGGTTCACTTCTAGTTTTAATCTGTATAGCTATTTAAAGTTTGAGCCTTCTCTAACTTTGTTAATTGATTTTTTATTTTTAAATATTTTCCATCTTCATACAGTTTTTTGAAATATATTTTTTGATGTCTCTCTTCTCTTCCATTCTGTCATTTTAAACATTTTTTAATTCCCTTTTCAGTAATAGAGTCTCAACAGGAAGAGTTTATGAACACATGTGGTCGTTCAGTCTATCACCTTGAATTACCAGTAGGTTTCACATACTATCCTCTTACCAAAGATTGGGAAAGAAACAGAGGAGGAGACACAGAGTTTTGAGTGCAAGGAAAGTCAAAACAGATCAATTCTGGTATAGAATCACTAGTTGAACTGACCTTTGATGACATTTATGCTATATTCACAGTGCTTTGAAATTGACTGCTTATAAAATTTTACCACTCACTTCAGTAAATATTTATTTGATGTCTCATCTGTGCCAGGTATAATGTTTGGCAGTTTGTGGATGCAGTTTCAGAAATATCTTTGAACTTGGCTTAAAAAAATTTTTTTTGACCATTCCATCAACTAATAGCAATATCGGTTTATTAACAATTTAAATAGTGTTATTAATTGTTCTTTTTCTTATCGAGAGAAATTAGTAATTTTTTTTAACTAATCCATTACATTTTATCATTAATACATCTTAGAGTCTTATCCTGTACTTTTACCAAAATCTAAAATTTGGGGAGGAAATCTAAATAATGGACATATCAATCTCAAAAGAATTTTGCAGAATCTTTTCTGAAATGACCCAAAGGAGAACATCAAATGGTGTTCACTGGTCCCAGTGTATAGAAACACTGTTACTTTCCAGAATTATAGACATATCCAATGAAGCTATTTGCTGAGAAGACTGATAAAAAAAATTCAGATTTTTTGACATGTCTCAGATACCTTTAATCATTTGAGTGAAAGAACTGCCTTAAATGCACAGAAGAGACCCAGTTCAAGTTTGGTGTATTGAGGTTGCATGTTCAGTGAGTGGAAGGAACAGGCCCGTCAACCCCACGGAGACTATTCGTGAGGATGTCCCTGTCACACATGTACTCTACTGAGAGCAGCCTCTGGAAAGAAGCACCAACATGTGGATGCTATTGTTGGCTGATGGCTTTGGCAGCCCTGTAATCTTCCTCTGATGTCCAGGGCCGATGCAAACCTGGTCCCACCAGGGCTACAAGGTTATGAGCTGTGATCCTCTTTACAATAACATCTCTGGCTACCACCTGGGTGAGCATCGATCCATCCAGCTCCTTGGTCAGCTTGAGGCTGCTTCGGGTGACCTGTTGCTGCCTGATATCCTCACCATCAGTTCCCTGTAGAGATATAAGCCCACAGCCTGCTTCTTCTGAAGGAATCTCTCCATATTTTTGTTCTCTTTTGTGTGTTTGTGCTTAACAATGAGTTCACACCACCGACAGTGAACCTCTGCATCCTGCCGGGGGAGGTTGTACCTCCTCTCAAGGCTTTGCAGAGTTCTGGGGTTCAGGGTTTTCTGCTCCAAGAGATGTTCCAGAAGGAAGACCAGCTGATCTGGAAGAAGTTTCAAGAAATGTTTATTTCAGTTTCAACTTCTACCTTTCTTCCACCTCAATACCAGCTCATCTGACAGGAATGAAAGCGTTTAGTGGACCAGCATTTGAGGTTCCTGTTGGGGTGCAGACTAGAGCCTGGAGCCCTTCCCCAGAAATTAGTAACATTTAACCCTTGTAAGTTAAAGAACCAAAAATTTGTCAGAGCTTGTTTGGAATAAATCAAAGCTGATAAAATACAATTCCAATCATATATATTCATACTAGACCGCTGCTGACTTTGTTGTCCAGAATTTAACACATTGCTCTTGTGATAGTGAATAATTTGGAATTGTGAAGCAGTATAAAGGATACTTGTTTCATTTGTTGTAACAAATTATAGTCTATCAGATCTTATGCTTTGATTGGGAGAAAAAAATGTTAGCTAATGCTTTGTGACCTCAAAATTTAGCAGCTTAAAACAATCATTACCATTTCTATGATAATCAGGGAGTGACTTAGCAGTGTGGTTCTGACTCAGGATCTCCTGGCTTTGTAATGCACTGTCAGCCAGAGCTGTTGTCATCTGAAGGCTCCAGTGGGGCAAACTCCACTTCCGTGCTCACGTGCTAGTTGGCAGGCCTCGGTTCCTCATGCCTGTTGGCTGCAGAGATTTTAGGTTACCTGGTGACCTCAAGACATGGCAGCCGGCTTCTCCCAGAGTCATGTAAGATAGAAAGTGCACCCGTGATTGAAAGCACAGCTTTTACATAACATAATACTGGGAATGCCATCACTTTTCCAGGTTCTACTGGTCTTAGACCTGGTAAAATGGGGAACGGACTGCACAGAAGTGGATGCCAGGAGGCAGGGATGACTGGGGCTTACTTATCTTGTAGTTTGGCTACTACAACTATCTTAATCTGAGGGATTATACAGAGAGTCTCCCCTTATCCATGGGGAATGTTCCAAGGCCCCAAGTGCACGTCGCAAACTACCGATAGTGCTGATAGTGCTGAGCCCTGTGTATACTCTGTGTTTTCCTATACATGCATACCTGAAAATTAGGCAGAGTAAGAGATTAACAACAATAACAATAAAAATTATACTAATGAAAGTTAGATGAATGTGGTCTCAAAACATTGTATTGTACTCACTGTTATGATGGTGAGAGAGTGTCTCTGTGATGAGAGGAAGTGACCTGAGGTAGGCATCGTGACGGTGTTAGGCCACCTTGAACACGAGCACTGCAGTGTCTGGGCAGTCTGATAATTGGGATGGCTACCAAGCGACTAACAAGGGTAGTGCTTACAGCACAGAGGTGCTGGACAAAGGGATGATTTACATTGCGAATGTAATAGAGTGGGACGGTGCAAGATTTCTTAATGCTACTCAGAACAATGCACAACTTAAAGCTTATGAATTGTTTATTTCCGGAGTTTTCCACTTAACGTTTTCAGTCTGGTTGACTGTAGGTAACTGAAACCTGAGAAAGTGAAACCGCAGATGAGGTGGGACTAGGTACTGTGGTTGTGGCTATAGCATTCGGAATCAGTGTTAAGTATTGCTTTGGAATTCAAATGGACATTTCTTTAGGGTGTTCACTTTGATCTGTTCATTACAAAAAAATTACATATAAAATATGAATGAATAGCAGTGAGACTGGAGACAGATTTGAGATCTTTCAGAGGTAAATTCAACAGACTTGATTAATAAAATCAGAGAAGGATAAGTAAAAAATTACCTAGAGGTAATTGGTTGGCCTAGTGGAAGGTGGTGCCAGTCACTGAAAGAGAATTTCAAGGGCAGAATATGGGGGAAAGAAGATAGACTTTGGGTTTGAATACATTAAATTTGATATCTCCGTAAGAAATTCAAGCACCCAATACAATACTTGGTATAGTAAGCACGCAGAGATACTACTTGAATAAATCCAAGTGGAGGTCATTTGTTGGTAGTTAGATAACTGATGCTAAGGAGAGAAAGTAAGAATAGCTGGGAGTCCATAACAAATAGATATATTCCAAGTGATAGGAAGATGTAAGAATACTCACAGATTTGAGAAAGCACTAACGATGAATATCAGTACTTGAGGGATGAGTAACAAAAGACGACCAGGAGAATGCAGTGTCATTGAAAAGAGCGTTTTAAGAGTGGTCAACTGTTGAGCAAAATCTGGGCAGAGAAATGTCTGCTCAATTTCCAATCATGTGACTTCAATGAGAATTTCAGTGTTACGGCAGAAGTGTAGACAGCTCTAAGACCATAGGGAAGCAGCTTGGTAGTTGGCAGTATGTCAAGGAAGGGTTTTGTTTGTTTCTAAAGTGAGGCCATATAGCCAGCACACAGGTCAAGAAAGAGTCCCCATAAACTCATCTCCCTCTAGTTCTGTCTCTCCCCAACCAACCACTTAGAGCAACCACCGTGCTAACATGACACCATAGATTTTTTTTCCTCAGGTTTTGTAGCTTTATAAATAACTGTGAATCAAAAGACATTGTTAAGAAATAAGGAAGGAACTGGCAGAAAATAAGCCCAATACATATATCTGACAAAGGACTTATTTAGAATCTTTGAAAAGTCTCACAGATCAAGAAGAAAAAGACAACCCAAATAAAAACTAACAAAAACCTGAAAATCCCACAAACGAGAATATCCAAATAAATACTTGAAAAAG